CAGTACTACTAATACGACAACAGTAGTCGTACTAATTCTACTTCTACTGCTACTACTACTACTACTACTACTACTACTTCTACTACTGCTACTACTACTACTACTACTACTACTGCTACTACTGCTACTGCTACTGCGACGACGACGACTACTACGACGAGGACTACTACTGCTGAAGGCAACGGCTTCAAATACTAATCACAACGACAGTCGTCATCATGATCGTCATCACTATCATCGCACAAGTACCAATACGAATACCAATGCGAATACTAATGGCAATACTAATAGCACAGCTAACGCTAACGCTAAAGCTCTTGCTCATGCTAATGCTTTTACTGATGTTAGAACATACTAGTACGAATACTACCAGTACTGAAACTGATACACATTTATTCATACGATCACGAATACCAACACTGTACAAATAGTAGTACGAACAAATGCGACTGCTATGGCTGCTGCTGCTGCTGTTACTGCTACCACCACTACCACTGCCACTACCCCCACCGCTACCAGTACCTCTCCTTCTACCCCTGCTACTCCTACTACTACCACTCCTACTACTACCACCACTACTACTACTACTACTACTACTACTACTACCGCTACTACTACTCCTGCTGCTGCTGCTACTGCTGCCGCCGCTACTACTACGACTACTACTACTACCACTACTACTACTACTACTACTACTACTACCACACTACTGCTACCACTACCACCACCACCACCACCACCATCACGACCACCACCGCCGTTGACGAACACTACCAATACGACGACTATGACGACGAGGGCCACTACTTGCTAGTACATGCCACTACTGAAACTGTAAAGTACTTACTTGATATTCCTGTACTCAACACCGCTAATTAATTTTCGCTGCGGCTGGCATGCGGCTTCAATGAACGCCTAACTTCTGTAACACGCTCGTGGCTTCAAGAGCCGAAGCTCTAGTGTCCTCCAAGCAGGACTGAAACCGCAAACTCCAGAAGACCCTCTCAGGGCTTGGCATAGGGGAAACTACTTGGATGAAGGCATCTGCCACGCGGTAGCACCTCGGTGCAGCAACAGCATTGGACTTTTGCTGGTGATGATGACGAAGATGAAGATGGTGAGTGCGACGATGCTTGCAGTGAGGAAGATGATGATAATGATGGTGATGATAACTGCCACTGCTTACCACTACCCCCCGCCCCCTCACTTCCGCTGGCATGCTACAGGCAACAAATAGCAGCAGTACAAACACAGCCGTATGCAGAGAAAATAAGAAGGAAAAAACACACACATGGAATTGGCGCTGGTATTGCTATTCTCGGTTACGAGTAACATCAGTTAACATGTACATTGCAGTATCATGTTTCCTTGTTCCCAGCTGCGAGCAACTATTCTCCTTGTATCTCACCAGCGCTATCATAATCATGAATACTCGTATTGCCATTGCTGTCAGGACTGTGGAGACTATCATTGTTGGTGTTGCTACTGTTACTTTTACTCTTACACATGCACTACTACTGCTGCTGCTGCTGCTGCTGCTGTGCTACCGCTACTGCTACTAAGGCCATTGATGTGTGTCATGGCTGCGGGCTCTCATGTGCGAGAAGCCGCTACACGAATACTGGTTACAAAGATACTCTACAAGAAATGCTAGTTAACGGTAGAAGTACAACCGATGTACACATGCTTCTGTACGGGCTTTGGAGACTTATACAGTGTTCCTGTAAAGGTTTCTACAAGGCCTAGTTTACTGGGATTAATGGTTTGGGCTTTCAGGGCTTGGTTTGGGCAACGTCACGGGTTTTCGGAGAGAAGAGATTTTTGGTCCTTGAGCGACATCTACAAAGCTCCTGCAAAATCAGGAAACCGCGATTGAATGCCAGAATCAGAAAATACCAAAGCCGATCGAAACTGCGAGTTTCTACAGGGCTCACCGAATCGGAAGAACCAGATGGAAAAACGATACATCTCAACTTTTGCATCCCAAAGGGCCTATCCGGACTTGCCAACATACCCTGAGAGGAAACCCAAATCATCCAAAATCCTAGAGTCCGAGACGTCCCCCAACTTCTCCGTCCCAGCCACAGCATCAGGCCGATCACAGCAGCGGCAGGCCTCCGAGCATCTTAGGGTTAAGGCTCAGGAGCTGTATGGTCTCCTCAGGATTGTAGGAAGTTTTAGGGTGTAGAGCGTCAGCTTCCAAGCTTCACAGTCACGGCTTCAAGGTCGGATTTCAGCTTTCCAAGCTTGTGATATCTTTGACCAATAATGATGCTGGTGCCGTTGCCGAGCTGAAACACTGCGGAGCAGCAACGTGGCGGTCGTCTTGGACAACAGTAAAGATTAGTGCACGAATTGATGGACGGGTGCTAGGCTCGGAAATGAACAGCGGAGTACCTTCTGCTCGCCGTAGGGTCGCAAGCTTTCCGTGTAGAGGGTCAGCAGACAGAGTCCATCTCTAGAAACCAATTCACGAGGGACCCTGGGACTCCATCTCCACAACATGAAGTACAAACAGATGGCTTCTCAACTCAAAACCTTCCCAAGGCGCTTCTCTCCAGCTGCTCTGAAGTCCCCAGCCCCCTGCGCCTCAGGAGATGTCGGGTTCGCCAACCCGCATGTCGGGATGCCTTCAAAACAAGGGACTAGGTGACAAAGACTAGCCTGGCAGGATTTGAGCTTGGGACAAGACTCCTAATCCTCGCGAATGAAGACCCTCAAGGCTGCACTCCGACGCATACACCTTCGCCCAACAACAGCATTCAAGAGGCCTTGTCCATCTCCGATTTCCTGCGACAGAGGGAAAATTCTTATCAACCGTACCC